CCGCGTCCAAGCCGCCGGGGGGGCGCGGGATGGGGGGGTTACTTCTAGGGGTCACTAAGGGCCCATGAACGCCCCCCACACCGCCGCCGGCCCGCGTGGGCTCATGGTGGGGCTAACCAGCATCACGGTTAATCACGGCCGGGTCGGATCGCGGGTCCTTCGGATCTCGGCAGGGGCTGTGCCTTGCGTCTCGGCCGCCCACCGCAAGCTCTGCCTTCGGGTGTCCGCCCGCGCCCACGATGCCGCGCCTCCCGAAGACGGCGACGTCTATGGAGGACGGCGAGCCGAGCCTGGGCCGCTTCGTCGTCGACGCCAACGCGGGGGGCGAGGGCATGGTCGTCGAGGTCAAGGTCGGCGGCTGGCGCGTGCTCCTGTCCGCCGACGGGTCGCGGTCGTCGAAGCGGAGCGCGGCCCTCGAGTACGTCGCGGACCGGGAGCCGCCGGAGGAGTTGGTGGGGCGGTGCGCCGCGCTCGGCGTCGCGTTCAGCCCCTACGTCGGCGAGCGGCGCGTCGTCGCGCGGACGCGCCGCTCCGAGGACGGCGACACGGCCGCGCCGCGCCCCCCCGCGGGCCGCGAGCACCGGGGCCGGTCGTCGGCCGGCGGCGCGAAGACGCCGGCGCCGGCCGTCGGCGAGGTCCTCGGCGCGCTCGACGGCGACGCGTGGCGCCGCGGCGTCGTCGTCGGCGTCGAGAGGGCCATGGATGCGCTGGCGGACCACGTGCTCGTCGTCGACTACGAGGGCGGCGCCGACGTCGTCCGCGAGCCCTGGCCGCCCGCGGGCGAGCGGCGGCTCTACCGCGCGGCGCAGAGCGACCGCGTGCCCCTGTGTGGAAATCAAATCTTCAACACAACTTCAATGTGCGCGTAATCGAACGATTTGGACCAGACTCTTTCGCTGTGCTTCGAGAACTCGACGAGAGCAATCGATTCGTCCAAAAATCAGCCGAATCGACTTTGATTTGACCGAGATAGAGAGTTCTGAAGCTTGGTGGGGACCCCCCAAACCAGTGGTTGATTTCCACACAGGCGTGCCCCGCGCGCTCGCGAAGCCGCCCAAGGCCCTCGTCGGCTTCGGCTACCGCGCGGCGGACGGGGCGTTGGCCCACGTCGTCGGCTTCCGCCTCCACGACGGCGACGCGCTCCTCGTCGAGCTCCGCGGCGCCGCGCGCCTCGTCCCGCTCGCCGACGTCCGCGCGGCGATGATCGCGGACGAGGAGTCGGTCTTCGGCCGCGTCGCCAAGGCCCAGCGCCGGGCCGCCGCGCCCAAGCTCCCCGCGCGCAAGTCCGACAGCCCGACGCCCAAGCGCAAGCGCGGCGCCGAGCCCGACGACGACTCGGACGCCGACGGCTCGGACGACGCCGCGGACGACGCCGCGCCCGCCGCCGCGCCGGGCCTCCCCATGCACGCGCTCCTCTTCTCCCCCGTCCAGTCCTAGGCCCGACACACCCGCCCCCTTTTGTAACCCCGTGTTGATCTTCACGGTGAAGCTTCCAATTCTCGTGATTGGCGCGATGGAGAGCTCGCCGGAGCAGTCCTCGTCGTAGAGCTCGAAGAGCGACGCGGCATGGACGCCGCCGTCGCCGCCGCCGACGCGCTCCTGGCCGACGAGGTGCCGCCGGAGTTGGGCGTCGACGGCCGGCGCTGGCCCGTGTGCCTGCTCATGCTCGCCATGGGCAGCCTCCAGGCGTCGGGCTGGATGGTCTTCTCAGCATCCGACGCGGCGTCGCGCGCGGCCTTTGGGCTGGGCTCCGACGGGTCCCTGGTCCTCGACTGGTTCATGAACGTGGGCACGATCTGCTTCGTCCTCGCGCTGCCGCTCTTCGGGAAGCTCCTGCGCCGCCTCGGGCCGACGCGGGGCCCGCACGCGGCGGTGTCGGTCGCGGGCTGGCACGGCGCCGCGTTAAGCTCGGCCCTCCGCTGCGTCGCCGTCTACGCGCGGGGCGCGCCCTGGGCCGTGCCGCTCGCCTTCGTCGCCTGCGCCGTCAACGGCGCCGTCGCCCCGGGCTTCTATTACGGCTCGGCCGTCGCGGAGGTCTGGTTCCCGGAGACCGAGCGGTTCCTCGCGCTGGCGATCCTCGCGATCCCGGGCACCGTGGGCCCGCTGCTCGCCTTCGGGTGCGCGCTCCTC